AAAAAAAAAAAAAAAAAAAAAAAAAAAAAAAATGCATAATAAAAAGGGGATAATTTGCAAGTGGGCAAGCAGGCTTTTAATTCATTCGTGATCCATCTCTTCCTCATTGTACCAATTCATGGCTGTGCTGCAGCTCATATCGTTTGAAAATTCAAATTTTATATATTTTTCAATAGTTTTATTAAGAAAAAATAATAATTCTCTTCCTTTTTTGTTTCCATTAGTCTAATTTGTGACCAATATTGACTGAAAAAAAATGCTGTGTAGTTGGACTATTAAATATTTGGTATATCCATAAATATATAATAGTTGTTGTGATTATATTTTAATTCATTTCAATATTAAACATAAAGTTAAAAAGAATCGAGTTATTCATGCGCTTGACTTGATTCGGTTCAGTTCGTTAGGACTCAGGTCGAGGTGATCTTGATATGTTGAACTGTCATGCTCGATTCGACTCGTTGGACTCGAAAAATAAGGGCTTTTACGTAAATTCTTGAGATATTACTTTAGCTCGACTTGTTAAGGCTTGAGTTCGACTCGTTAATCTTGGTAAATTATTTAAACTCGAACTCATTTATTGACTCGATCGGTTCACGACTCGTTAAAAATAAGGCTGCAACTGAATTCTACTCAAACTTTTCAGAAATTTTCACATGTTGTGCATTAAAGAAGCAGGACAACTCCCACAAAAGAATCTTTATCTTTAATTATTCTTATTCTTTTAGGTTCTTAAACAATATTATATAATCTTATTTAGCTGAACATTTCAACATCAATTGCCAAAAAGTCTGCCACTGGGGGTAATAACTCCAAATTTCAATTTGCAGAGATCGATTTACACAGTGGCTTAATGGCTAATTGGCTATAAAAAAAAAAAACTTTATAGTGTTTACTCATTTAAAATTATGTTGTATTTGTGGCCCAATCGTTTGAGAGATGTATATCCACTCATATGAATCTGCAATATATATGTACACACACATAAATATTTACAATCAAAATTACAAATTACTTTTACTAAATACACACTCACTAGTACGATAACCCGGTGTACTACACGAGTCTTTAAATATATTAATATTTGTACAATACAAAAATTAAAATAATTTATTTTTTATTGTAAAACTATGTATAATGAATATATAAAAATAATGAATAACTAACAACGTAGTTATTTAATTCAAAACGAGGCTCGTATTTTTGTACTTAATTTTCTTATTTTATTTAAAATTTATGAAAATACGCATTAAAATGATTATTTTATAGTGTATTATTGAATTAGATATTTATTATATTTATTATTAAACAATTTATATCGTATTTATATTTTTAAAATTATTTTTTTGATAAATTTAGCTTTATTTATAATGAAAGATGTAATTATTTTTATTTTATATATGAAATATGGATGTCAAATAGAAGATCGTCAAAATGGCCCGGGAAAATCTCTCTAATAATATATATTGTGCGAACAAAAATCATTCAACTATGTAGGAGGTACTTATGGGGCTCCAAAAAAGCCCCCGTTGCATGGGATACTTTGTGTTTACCTCGAGCGGAGGGAGGATTGGGGCTCCGTAACTTAGATGCTTGGAACCGAGCCCTTCTCATGAGGACTCTTTGGAATATGCAAACTAATATGATTATTTTGAGATATTATATACAAAAAATAAGATACAAATTATTGATGGACGGATCCAATCAACGATTAAAGTTGAATTTAATAAGGTAGTAAAGAGAAAATAAGGAAGAGATACGGATAAAATGGATTTTATTACTTAATTACGAGGTCGGTCTTTGATGATGAGGTAGGTACTTTTGATACAGGGGAATAATTACAGAGATTTATTACAGAATCTAGAGAGAGAAAGTAGTAGTTGATGATTTCAACAACACACAATAAATGAGTTGGGTCTTCTATTTATAGCATTTCTAGATTCGACACTGTTCAGGTACTGTTCATCTGTCTTGTCGCACAGTAACTCCAACGGGCTGATCGACGCTCTTCTGACATATATTAAATGCGATTTGAGGTTTCTTCAATCATTACACGCCAGATATTTAATGCACACATGTGACATTAAATGCTGACAAACCTTTTTGTCGGGCTAAATACCTTAGGGCAATAGATTAGTGCGGTTTGTCCCATCAACAATCATTAGTCGCCAAGTGACAATATTATACTATTAAACCTCGCGCTCGTGCGGGAGTCGGGTTAAGGAAATCTTCAGGTCGAACTTTCAACATTTATTGATCTGCCGGCTCTCCGGAGCTTATAAATCTGCTCGACATTCACAGACCTCTGAGAACAAGACGCCGACTTCTGAGAACATGCCAGTTGTCGTCGCGGTCGACTTTTTTCTTGAGTCAGCTCGGTACTTTGTGCCGACTCGCTATCCGGTTCGGACCGCAGGGTCGTCTTCTCCCGGCTTCTCACTGTCGAACCGTAAACTCGGACCAGGCCGATCCGTATATCAACACAAATAAAAACTTATAAAGATTTAAAAATAAAAAGAATATATATTTATAACAATTATTATATGAATTAAATAAGAAAAAATAATGAAAGAGAGATTTAAGTACGAGAGGCAATAAATTTATGTAATGAAAGAGAAATTTATGTGAGGTAATTATGTAAGATGAAATAATTATTTATTGTTGATTCCAAGCCAATTTGTTTCCAAAATTTTTATCCGAACCTAAATACAAAACATGATAATTTGACACGTATGATTCCAAAGTGTGCGAGTCTGTCACTTGAGCTCAACACGTTTAAAATTAATATATAGGGGAGATAATCCAAACATAAATTTGGTAAATAAAATTGGAGAACTGAAAAATAAAACATAATTAAGGCAAAATTACAAAATGTATATGTTCAACAATTTAATGTATAGGTCGTTATTTTATTAGGCCACCTTTATCCGTGACCCAATGGGAGGGGTCACGGAATTAAAAAATAAAAAAAAAAAAATTAAAACAAAAAAAAAAATAAAAAAAAGGAAAAGGGCACTGATGCGCGCGACCCAGGTCACATTGTGACCTCGGGTCGCAACCGATTTTTGTACCGAAATGGGACACTTGTTCCATTTTTATTGCACAAGTGTATTTTTTTGTATTTAAAAAAAAATAAAAAAAATATCAAAATTCGTATTTTGTCATTCTCTACAAATAGAGACCACACTTGATATATTTTAGAACACAATTGCAATTTTTAAATAAATTAAAATAAAATAAATATTTAAGTTGAGTTGGGTTATGAATAAAGATAAGAGAAGATTGGGTTGTGTAGGTAGAGGAGAGAGAAATAATTTTTAATTGTTAAGTTGAGTTGGGTTGGGTTGGGGATAAAGATAGTCTTAGTAACTCTATCAATTGCATAATGTCCACAACACGAACACATCAAATAACGAACATTTTGTCCAAAAACATACACAGGTGGACATATTTTGAAAATTTTGGCAATAAGGCTATGTTTGGTACTAGCTGATAAACTAGCTGATAGCTTATAAGCTAGCTTATAGTTTATATGTAATTTTCGAGCTTATAGTTTATGACTTATAGCTGAAAAATTAGCTTATATGATAAAAATGTCGGGTAGATATAGTTGATAAGCTAGCTGGAATAAAAAATTCAACTAGCTTATTTGAAAAGCTACCTAAACAAGCTTATCAAATAAGCTCGAGCTTTTTAAATAAGCTCGTCCTACCAAACGGGGCTTATTTGAATACAAGAAGTTTATAAGCTAACCAAATAAGCTATAAGCTAGCTTATTTGGTTTACTAAACATAGCCTAAGGCTATGTTTGGTAAAATTAGCTGATAGCTGATAAGCTAGCTTATAGCTTATATGTAATTTTTGAGCTTATAGCTTATAGCTTATGACTTATAGCTGAAAAGCTAGCTTATATGATAAAAGGTGTTTGGTAAATTAGCTGATAAGCTAGCTGAAATAAAAAAATTCAACTAGCTTATTTGAAAAGCTACCTAAAGTAGCTTATGAAATAAGCTCGAGCTTTTTAAAAAAGTTCGTCCTACCAAACGAGGCTTATCTTAAACAGGAAGCTTATAAGCTAACCAAATAAGCTAAAAGCTAGCTTATTTGGCTTACCAAACATACCCTAAATAAGTTTGTCTTATTTTTTGCTACTATATATGATGTATTGTGCTGGATTGTAAATTTTTGCTTCTCTATGATGTATTTTTGCTCAATAAGGTAAAGGGAAATTTTTATATATCTTACATGATTTTAAAAATATTGCAAATATACAACACATAAACAAATAATTACAAACCTACCTAATAGTACATAATAAGTAATATTAATGCTAAAATTCAGTTACTATAATCTTCAACATTCATTCCCCTTTTTATGGAATTGAATAAGAGAGAGAAATGAAAAACATGCCTATAATAAATAACTACCTCATTTAATTCCGCACAATTATCGAGTATATATTGAGTATATGTTAGTATATATTCAGTACATGTGCGCAACTGAAATTCTTTAATTCACACAGTTGTCAGATGGTATATATTGAGTATATGTTAGTATATATCAGTGCAACTGGAATTCCTTAATTCACGCAGTTGTCAGATGATATATATTGAGTATATGTTAGTAAATATTCAGTATATGTGCGCAGCTGAAATTTTTTAATTCACGGAGTTGTCAGGTGGTATATATTGCGTTTATGTTAGTATATATTCAAGATATGTTGCACTGAAGAAAATGTCTTCCATCAAAAAAATGATATTTTCCTCTCTTTCTTTCTTTTATACAAAAATTGTATGTATAGTT